GATGTCGAATCGACGTCGATTCGACATCGATTTGGCATCGAATTGGCGATCATTTCTCACTAGGTTAAGATATAAGAATAAAACAAAATAATAAAAGGAAATAAAATCTTTAATCTTTTAAAACAAGAAAAGAAAAATACTATTTTTACGAACTAAATTTATATGTCTTCTAGTAACAACTTTTTTGAGAAAGATATATCTTTGAAACATGTTTAAATCACAATTATTAATAAAAATATAACTTGTGAAAATTAGAAATAATTAAAATAAATTTATTCAATTTAATCTTAATGACATTATCTTTATTGGTTGACATCAAGGCAGTTTTTGTATTAAAAAAAACATTGAGCGTGTTATAAACGTTTAGGTGCTTCGCACTTTTCACATATGTATTTTATTTTTCTTCCTCGAGCACGTAGGACGTCGTAGGACATCGCTGATCTGATCAAATGATCATTACTTTGAGAAATAGGCAGTTTCATTCTCACTTTCTTGCAACAACTGTATATCTTCATATGAATTCGAGAAGACATTTTAAAATCTATATTCTTAAAACCGAGCATAAACAATAAAAATAAACAAAATATATAACAAAAAGTAATAAAAATCAAAATATTGTATCTCACTTTTTTCTACGTGTCAAACCAGGTGAGGTATGAGGTATCCACTTTGCGCACATATGCTCGCTGTACTGGTGTTCGTCGCACTAAACCGCCGTCACTCCGCAAACTAGTAACATCACAACTCCAGCTACACGAAATGACAATTTGCGTGCAATATTTTTTAAAAAATTGTAGTGGTTTAAATTTTGTTGAGTTATATTAGTTATGTTACACTCTATTTGGAGCATAGGGGGTTAAGAATTTTAATAAAATAGAACATTAGAAGATATGATTGTAATTAAAATTACCTAAAAATGCAATTACAAGTTTTTATTAGTGCCGTGTATACATTTTTTACAGCAAAGTTTCGCGTTGCATGATAAACACTAATTGATAACATTGCCTATTACCTACTGATTTGTAATTGATTATGTTGTCGAATTTAGAATTGAAATTGGTAATATCACTGGTTAATTTATTATAATGATAAAATGAATTGAGCTGTATGCATACAATATGTGTCTATTAAAATGCACAAAGCCGTAATTGTGAAACTAATAAAAATTATCGCATATTGTTTTATTCGGCAAACTGAGCACAAAGTTAAAAAAAACCGAATATGAAATATTTTAATTCTTCAATTATTTGGTAAACACTTCATTGGATCTTCTGTAGTATTTGAAATATACTAATTGCCTCGTTCTGTTTTACGTCATTATAAAAATATTGACTCTCTTCGCGTATGCGTTTGTTTTATTTCAATATTTTTTTTACATCTGTTTAAACCAAATTAATGCGTTAACGGAATTCTCGCTCGGTTTGCAACGGTTACATAGTTACTATTTACGTCAGAATTACAAATTTATAGTATTATAATATTAACACATTGTGTGCTGATATTAATATACAACTGGCAAACAATGTCAAATCTAATAAAATCCATTTATTGTTCAGATATGCAATTAAAGAATGTAATAATATGTGATATTCGCTGCTATTAATCATTACATACTGCGATAAAGTTTACAAAATGTTCGTAAAGTGTTTGCAAATACATATATATCACAAGTTTCGCATTATACGTGGCGGAGAAATTTATGTCAGAACTCGTGAAAATAAATTAGATATTATTTTTCGAAAGAGTTCGATTGTTGTGTTTTCGGCGCGCGCGTTTCCGAAAGCCATTTCATGTAAACTTCACCGTAAACTTCGCACTGAAGAATACACGCAGATCGTTAAGCTAGAATATGTGTAGTACACTAACTGGATCAAGTAAATTATAGTTACGAGCAAGTTACTCGATTGAACGTTGTGCTTTCGTAGTTAAGCACACGCGAGCGTAAGCTGATTTTCAAAGTATGAGCCTATGAGCTTTACTGCTTTAATACGAAGTATTGTTTCGATTGTTTATACTATTGATCGCATACTCGATACTTCCTTTTGCTTTCAAATTTCGATTTATTTGTTTGTCGAGAAGAAAAGTTTTACTTTGATTTTATAAAATCCATATGAACGTGATACATAGAAAAAAAAGTGATAAACATTAATTAATTTCACATAAAATTATTGCAAAATGTTGGTGATATTGATTCTCTTTTTTTCTGGAACTCTAACTTCCACGAATTCTAAAACCAAAGATAAAACTTAAACGTAGATATTACAATTATTTTGCGAGAACCGTGATACCGAAAACAATTTTTAAAAAGTTATTTTTTTTAGGATAAAATAACAAACATGCACATGTACACACCCATATGCAACTTGGGGAAAATTTTTTAGGCCAAAGAGAGAATTGCACAAGAAGCGTAAAAAAAAAAACAATTTCGAATTTTGACATTCAACAACTATCGTTCAACTAGGAAATTTCCATAGGAATTTTTTACTTCAGATTAGTTACATTAATTGCTGACTAATAAATCTGATTTTGTATAAAAATCTATAGAATTAGTTTTGATCTATAGAACTAGAATTACTAATTTCTTTATTTCCCCTTTTTTGTAATTATTCCCGTCTCTCTCGGTAATAGCATTTTTTCACGGAGAAAAAGGACTGCCACAACAGAACAATAATGTTATTTTTCCCCCATGATTATAGGAATCATAGTACTCTGGAAGTAACTTATATTTGCCCCAACCTTAGTGAGGATATCTGCTATATGGATGTTACAACTCTAATGATTATCTCTAGGAATTATTCCTGCAACCATAGTTATATGTTCTATCTTAAGCTAATAGCACTTACAATCTTTATGTGTATGAAACCATATATTATGGTTAGGATTATTTTTCTTAGCATAAATAAAATATTTGTAAGAATTCGAACGTGTATTTATTAAATACTGATAAAATGCAATTTAGACAAGTGCACTCTTTGCCGATTATCATAATTGTCTTCTTATCACTTATTTTTCTAACAGCGAGCTATTTGAGACAATGGCGTATATCTTAGTTAGGTTATTCGGTTGCTATAAAGTGACTATAGTGGCATAAGAAAGCAGTAGACAGTAAATTATCAAAGTCGACCGAAAAATATACTTCTTTCTAGCACTGATGTGGAAAGAGAAAATAAAAAAAGAGCAAAAAGAAAATATAACAAAATGATGAACTGTTTCCTATTAACATAAATAGATATATGTATGTACAGATATACATTACAGAAATATTTTTTATAGTTAATTCATTTAGAAATAATGAGTTTGAACACGTTTGATATTACGTAATATCACTAATATCATATAAAGAAGTTGCAAAATGCCTAAAACAGAATTTAAAAATCGTATATTCATAGAAATAAGAATCACAACATACACTTTTGTAACACACTTTATTTTGTTCTTTGCGAGTATAGGCAATAGTATAGGTAATACTGCTGCAATGGAACTGAACTCTTAGTGCTCCGTAGTTAGTATTGTGCATAGCTGTAGCCTAATAGATCTCTCAATCACACTATTTGTTCAGTAAACCATATAAAAGAGACAACAATAATCTTTCAATTGAGGCAAACATATATTAGGATATTCTAATCAATTATATATTTATTCTAAAAATATTTATTCTAAAAATTACTTAAATTTACATACATTTTTTTTTCAAACGTAGAGAATATTGCTGTAACCAATTTTTTTCCGTGTTTAACATTATTGTTCCGTTACTAACATTATTATCACAAAAATTGCTAGCACTTTTTAGTGTATCTGCAAGGACTCGAGAAGCGGCTACTCAAATTGTTGCTAATCAAATAATTTGTTTTCTTGAAAATTATTAAGTTTTTTTAATGAAAAAGACAAATCTAGAGACTTCAGGAAGCTATTAGAGCTATGAAATACATTATGCCGAATTGCCGAAGTAGATTTGCAAAGCATTATAAGGGAACTGATAAATTTGGAAACACTCGAATTCGCGCTTCTCCTCTGTTGAGCTATCTTCCTCTATACTCTCTATGTTCAAACTATCTAATCTCTTTCTCAAAGATATTAATCGACGCTTTAATTGTTTCTTTCTCTTTTTAGATTTTTACTAGGACCTGTTCTTTAATCCACGCGAAATCGTCCTTCAATCCCAGTGATAAACCTCTTCCTCAAACTAATCCTTCCTTCTTCTTCCCCTTCGTACATAATTGATGAGATTTTCTCTGAATCTTTTCTAAACCAGTTTCTTTCAGCTACACCTTTTTCCCTTAGCTCTTTTAGTATAGCTCAGTTCTGCAAACATCGATAACCTTCGAGTCATATTGTCCCAAATAGATATCCCTTCCTACAGTATACCCCAATGGCTTTACTTTATCCTATCCGAGCTCTCATAACCGCATTTTATCACTTCGTTCCTTCTTTCTACGATCATATAAAACTTTTTCTTTTTCCCCTGCGTCCTATGCACACACACACGCACATACACACACACACACACACACACACACACACACAATTTTTTTGTTATTTACAATTAAGTACTACTAGACACCACAAAGTGCGCGCTATTTAGCTTTTTTTTTTTAATTTTTAAAAATGAATAACCACAACTCTCAATACAACCTCAATACGTAAAACTGTCCAAATCTCCGCCGTTGACAGCCGCTTACGAAGTTAGCGCAGCGTGAGAATCAGCGTCACGGAAAAGAGAACAATAAATTTCGAAAAACTCCATACATTTTGAGTATCGATTTAATATGCTCTTTTTTAGATAGGATATTATTTACATTTAATATTATAACTTGAATGTTATAGCTTTGTGAAAGCTCTAAGTAAATCAGATTAGACAAATTAACGTTAAGGCTCTCTTAAAAAGATTTTGAGCGTTCATAACAAGTAAATTTATATGTACATACATGCAAAATCATACACATACGCACTAATACTTGTTCAGTTTTATGAAAAAATAATGGAGAAATAATTGTTTTACATGAACTCAAAATTATTAAAATTGATGAAATTTTTTATTAAATTATCTCTTTTTCTTTTGATTAATTTTATTTTCTTTCTTTTCTTTATCTTCTTTTTCATGATATTTGTCACATAGTTTTGGTAATAGATTCTATTTTTTTTTTTTACGAAAAACGAGAACAAACGAATCTATGTGTGATAGACAGCGTGAAAATTGACTTTTCTGGTTGTTAACTCGTATTTGCAATAATCATTAACAAAAAGTTTGTTCGTAACTCACGCCTCACAATACATTTTGACTGATATATATATATATATATATATATATATATATATATATACATATATATAAAGATGTCAAATTTATTTAAGCTAATTGATAATAATTAGTATATCGTATTACTCCCAAATAATTTTCCGTTTCACACGCGAATCTGTATTTCAATTATTATGAAATAAAATGGTTAAAACCTGAGGTACATTAACCCGATGTGTTTATAATAATTTAATTTCTTTGTTTTCTTTATCGCGTGCCATACGCTTGTCGTGGCGATCGCTTCCATCGATTAAAACCGATTTAAAGTTATATTGTTTTGGGTGGATTTGAATCTGAGTCTTTGGCATCGAAAGTCGATGCGTAGCTTTTCGCTCCACGATCCCCACATTTGTTTTAAAAGAAAAAAAAATAAACAAAAATTTTTGATAAA